CTTCCCTTGGTTGGCCGACCAGTTCAAAAGGGTCAACTCAAAGAAAGGTGGTCGGCCAGCCCATTTGGTGGTCTCCCAACTGAATGCAAGCTAGTGATATGGTGGGAGACCAGTAAATGTGGCTCAAAGACCAGGGAGACCAGCTTCCTGTCAAGAAAATCGGCTGGCGGGAGAAAAGTGGTCTCCAAGGAGAAAAGGTGGTCTCCCACCCTTGTACCACCTCCCAAACAATGAAAACAAGGTCCATGCCAAAAATGAACCAAGACGGATGCAAAACGAGGGTTCGGGGGTTAAAACGCGTAGCCAGGTGCCCCGAAAACAGGCTGTTAAACATCGAGAGTGGCGTGCGACCACGAAGGTGGTCTCCCGGGCCACAGTGTCCCTATAGAGAGAGGAAACAAGGTGTGTGCCAAAAACCATGCCAAACGGAGAAAGTTAAGTGGTCCCGAACCGAGGGGCACGGCTGACGGCTCTGAAAATCGGAAACTGGTCTCCAAATGGGAAAAGTGGCCTACGACCATGAAAAGTAGCCTACGACCACTGAGAGATGGTCTACAAGACCTCTCCCTCTCTCTGGGAAGAGAAAGCAAGACCTAGTCCGCAAACCGAGGCAAAGCATAAAAGGGTCCTGAGGTCCGGGGGTAAGGTTCTCAGCCGAAACTCTGAAGCCTCAGAACGAGCACAACATACACCATCACCGAGCGCTCAATCGATGACGTCTGAGTCTTAAGGTCGGTCAAAAATGGGGTGTCTACAGGGGGGTTGTTTAATTTATTTCAATAATTTTGTTTTAAATATTATGTTGTGTTATATTAACCAATTAATCAATTCTGCATAATCATCTCTGCAACCTCCCTCCATTCTTTGATTATTTTGATTAAAGAGTTGTGAAAAATTAAGATTGTGGTTCAAGTACAAGAAAGAAATTTTTCTCATGCTTAATGGTTTAATCTCTTCGGAGGTTCACTATCAAAGGCATATAAACTTTCTTATACTAAAGCACGATCATTTATTTTTCAGTTCTCTTTATCATCAGTGTGTTTACTTTTAAGGGATTAATTGACCCTTGGAAATCACTAAGGAAAGTGTCATTATCACTTATTATCAAGTTTGGATTTCAAGTCATTATCACTCACTGTGGGTTTTTCTAAGTCATTATTACTCTTTTGAGTTTGACCAGTCCTTGTTGCGCATCGTGGGTTTGACTTAAAACCCCTTATCGCTTGTAAATGAGTTTGACTCTTCTTTTGTAATTTCCCTCGAAGAATTTATCATCAGTGTGTTTACTTTTAAGGGATTAATTAACCCTTGGAAATCACCAAGGAAAGTGTCATTATCACTTATTATCAAGTTTGGATTTCAAGTCATTATCACTTACGGTGGGTTTTTCTAAGTCATTATCACTCTTTTGAGTTTGGCTAGTCCTTGTTGCGCATCTTGAGTTTGACTTGAAATCCCTTATCGCTTGTAAATGAGTTTGACTCTTCCTTTGTAATTTCCCCAAATAAAATAAGGTTTATTTCCTCGGGTTAAGTCGACACTTATTTTCCTTTATTGCATTTCGGACTTAGTGGATGTAAATATCACCGTGGACTTAATGGATTAAAGAAAAGGAAAGATACTATAAAAGAGGCTAATAAAATTGAGCTTAAAATGAATCAACCAACATAAAGAACCAATATGATTGATTGAATTCGGTCGGACGTTATACCGAGTTTATTGTGTCAAGGCTTGTCTTATATTAATCCATAATGTTTTGATGAATCTTGAAGCGTCTCTACTTCCTTTCTTGAATTTGCTTCATGATAGGAGGGAGGGGTGGTCATTATGCATTACATTTATTGATCTTTGTCCTATCGTGTCCAAAATCATCTTGCAAACCAACTTGCAACCAGAGATGGTTTGAGAACCGAGTTCGTTCCTCTCTTGAGTATTTTCCATGATAGAGAAGAGTAGAAGAGACAAATATGGCCAGGAATACCCTGTCTGCATGTTTGCACTGTTTCACCTCAGGCACAAAAAAAAAACAGATTTCTGCAAAGAAAACTAGGCATAAAGAAAACAAGGTATGCTTGGGTTTATTTGGGGCTCGACTAAGTCTTGTTTTGAGTCGGCAAGGCTCCAATAAATATACACTTTTGGTCAAAAGCAATGATAAGGTGAAACAAAACAAATCTAAACAAGGCAGACAGAGTAATTCCTGAAGAGCATCGCGCGATCATTACATATTATTTGTTGTAATAAATTAAACAGCCCCTTTTCATTATTATTCATTCGGATTTGTAATATTTATTTATTCGGACACTTGGACATTCGGACCCTCCTTCGCGAGGACAAATATGTAATAATGTATATATCTTCCAACCCCATATCTTTCTCCCTTTTATTTACCAGCTTATGATGGTTAGTTTAAGGACATCATGTTTAATTTGGCATACTCATGTTTGCATCCATTTGTATTGCATGCATAAAAGTTCGGCTTATCATATTATTCAAATGTAAAATTCAAACTCTTTACTTGAATACGTGCGCCATCACACGCCTTGAATTGACTCATGCCATTCTAGTAGCCGAGCTTATTAATTGCATATTGTATGTGTTGCATTAGCCATATTACATAGTTGGATCATGCATTTTTCTAACTAGTTCCTTTTTTGGCTTGGAGTACGAGGTAAGTTTTTATGTTTTAGCATATTGCATAAGTATGATTGCTGTCATATCAAACATACTACCATGAGGCTAAATGCTTAATTGTTAAACTGCTTGAATGCCTGTGGATGAAGACTATTCACTGAAATTGGGATACTTTGATTAAATGTATATATATGAGATCACTTTTTCAAGTGGTACATATTCAAAACACTTTTTCAAAACAAACATGAAATCAAATGTTACAACTTCTAGTGAAATTAGTCTATACTTGTATGTTAAAAATAAAATAAGAACATATACTGTACATAAGAATCACATCATAATTAGTAGAGGCCGATTGTTGATCGGGTGAGTGGGGTACTCATTATTGACCTTCCCCTCTCATACCTAAGTTCCCGAACCAAGTCACTTTGGTAATGAAAGACTGATGGCCTTTGGCACGAGTCACGGGTTTCCTAAATTTTCCAAAATAAATATTTAGGTGGTGACTCTGATATCTGGCAAAGCAGTCCATTTTTGGCATTTGATTCAAAACATTGATTTTCCAAAAGCATTTGTCGGATTTGGACTCTTTTCGTGTTTCCATTGTTTCACATTGCACTTGTGAAATTAGATTCAGAACCAACACAAGTGGAGTCTGAACTGTAAGGGCTATTTCATTCTTCCGAAAGGGAGCGCAGAAAGCCGAGCTACAGTCATATTCAATGACATACTCAATTAATTAGTTTTAATTCACCTAATCATCATCCAGTGTCTACAACAATCAAGACTATCCTCCACCGATAGCCCAAAACATTTGTCTCTAAACAGATAATAAATTCATCAAATAATTTCTCAACATTCTCATAGGTGAGTGATAAACCAATCCAACTACATCATTCAATCACATAATTTCCCAATTTCATTACTTCCAAACCAATTTCATATTTCCATAATAAATTTCATTTATTACACAATGACCCGATTAAACCCAACTAAGGCATTTTCTCCATTTTTCTCAACATTGACCCAAAGGCCCAAATACCATCAATAAACATCAATAACCTCATTTTAAGACCCATATACACATGTATAATTCAAAGGAACAAAACCCCTCTTTATACATTTCAAGCTTTGAAACCCTAACCCCCAAATTTCCCAACTTCAACATTAAATCAAAATGACTACATGTTTATGTCAAAGGCCATAAATATGAGTAGTTATCCCTACCTCAAGTGAAGAGACTCATAGGAGATGAAGATGAAAACCCAAGATACTCCAAACACCAACTTTTTCGGATCAAAATGAAGATCACACCAAGCTCCACACTTTATACAAAGGAACTAGGGTAGAAGATCACTAGAGCTAGGCGTATTTGTAGAGAGAAGATGTACTCTAGAGAGAGAAGCTCTCAAACTAGGGTTTTGGAAAGCTAGAGAGAGAGAGAGGGCCAAAAAGTGATTCAAAAATGGCTTCTCTCGGACTGATATACATCACAGTCCGCTCGAGCGTGGAACACCCCGCGTCAGACACAAATTCCCGCTTGAGTGTGAAAAGCGCCGCTCGAGCGTTGAATGCACAATTCCAGAAGTTTTACAGACGAAGGTCCCGCTCGAGCGTAAAAGTAGACGCTCGAGCGCCCGATGACCTGCAGGAAAAATACTAAAGACTGAAGAATCCCGCTTGAGCGTCAGACTGCTTGCTCGAGCGTAGGAGCAAAAGCAAAGGGCCCGCTCGAGCGTGAAGGCCAAAATCTGGGCATTAATTATTTGTTTCTAAATACAACCAACCTGTTTCAAACCTACCCAATACAACCCAAAACTCAAATACAAAGAGTTAAAGAACAGAAATGCAATAAAGACAACAACAACACTCAACCACGGAACCGAGTTCGGAATACAATAAACAATAAAGGAAAAACCAGGATCGCTATATGACTTGTTATCACACGCGACATACTAATAGTCTAATACATTCTTGTCATTGTGAAGTTTGGTCCTCATAGTTTCAGCTCTTGACAGCTACTGTTATGGTATTGAATTTATAATACCCATGCAAATTGTTGGGCATGTGACAGATAATTCCGAGGAATACTCATCATTTGCATTAATTTATCCACCCTAATTTGGGCTATTATCAACCATTATATCTTTGGGCAATCTTTATTCTATTTTATTTAGTCATATTTATCATTTGGGTAGAAGGAATATGATTGATTGTTTGAGAATTATTGTCAAAATACCTCTTTAAGACAGATTCTTCCCTGAAGGTATACTACAACCATCAGCTAACAAACTTGTGGAACTGATGCCATTTCTCGTAGCCATAATGTATATATATTTTTTTCTACAATGACTGCAGTTGGAAGGTGTTGTAACCTTCTTTGGCCGGGTTGCAATACTAATAGACCAGAATACACAGGCATTCCACATGTTCATTACTGCTCTTCTTCAAGTGCTTTAATTTCCTTGTGTCCCCATTTGATTATTTGCAAGATAAAATTGTTGAGTCTGGTCGTTATAATTTGATAGGTATGTTTAATTAAATAACTCGTGGAGTTATCATGTGCAGTTATTGGATCGATCGGGATTTCTATATGGAGAGCTTGCTAGATTTGTGTTGAGACTACTGCGAATTAGAACAAAGCCTAAAAAGGTTCGGCCACTCCTGATGATGGTTTATGAGACAGATTTATGCCACTGAGACTCAAGTATGTGTTCCATTAGTTTAATGGTATTTTATGGTGTGTAGGTTTTTTCATTTTTCACTCAAAAATTTTTAATGGCAAACATGATTCAAGGCCCGAGGTTTATTTGGCAGCACTGCTCACATTGTTGTTTTTCTTGTCTTTCTCTCCCCCATTTGCTTGGATTTTTAAAGCAACATTTTTTTTTTTTGCTACTAGGGAGAGAATTTGCTTTCCCTTCATTTGTGAAGCAAATCATACCATAATAGAAAGCTATTGTGATGATGAGAGAATGGTGCTCTCTTCACACAGGCAAAGCATTGATGTCGATTAAGGCGTCGTTTAGCAACATAGCAAATGTGTTGCTGGACTGGGATGTTGTTCACAACGATGATTTCTATTCATGGCGTGGCGTCTTCTGTGACAATGTCACCCTATCTATTGTTTCTCTGTATGTGTTTTCTATTCATGCTTATTTTTCTTTTTCTTTTTGCCATTTGATTCTACTAGAGTTTTTTAATTTTTTTTTTAATTTTAATTTTTAATGTATATATATATATATATTTTATTATATTTGTTTGTTGAAGGAATTTGTCAAATTTGAACTTGGGTGGGGAGATTTCACCAGCCATTAGAGACCTGAAGAATTTACAGTCCATGTATGCTTTCTTTGCTAATCCTGTTGATTTGGTGTTCTTGCTCATTGTAACCAGGTTAACATAGATGTTATATTTGAAATATTTTCAGGGATTTTCAGGGGAACAAATTAACTGGTTAAATTCCTGATGAGATAGGCAACTGTGTTTCTCTGATGCTGGTGTAAAATTTCATTTTCTTTCTTCATTGCAATTTTATTTACATATATGTGGATGTGTTAATATCTTCTTATGTCCTTAGGTGATTAAGATTTTTAGTCTTTATTTTAATGGTTGGGTAATGCAGGGATTTATCTGATAATTTACTGTATGGAGATATACCAATCTCAATATCCAAGCTTAAGCAGCTTGAATTATTGTAAGTTAATACCTGAAGTGAAGTACTATTAACTAAGTATGCTGGATTGTTTAAGATAGATAAGTTTTTTGTTATACCAACCAAGGGCTTGAGTAAGTTCTGTAAATGCAGGAATTTGAAGAACAATCAATTGAATGGCCCTATCCCTTCAACATTAACACAGATTCCCAACCTCAAAACTTTGTGAATTTTACTTTTTTTCTATTACAATTCTCCTGATGATGTTTTTTTATTTTATTTTATTGTATTCAGTTGGCCTTCCATGTGTTTTGCATTAGCCACAACTGGTTGCATATGAAATGCTTGATAAAAAGATTTAGTTAGAAGGATCATTTGCTGACAGATGTGTTATCATAGGCAACATGTCTCCTATTTGGGACTCTAGAACCTTTGTATACTTGAGAAAAGTTTGATATCTATATTCAAACATATTTTATCTATTTCACGTAAATAGTCATGGCTTAATATTTTTCAATATAATTTTGTGAGAGCTCCTTGAAGCTAACTATTAGGGGGTCCTTTTTGTTAATTTCATACTTTAATTTAAAGTTTTTATTTTTAACAGACTATATACACACTAAGATCAATCCAATGACTAAAATCAATCCAAGATATCCATTCAATACGAACTCTGAGAATTGTGTTCAAATGATCTGATAAAAAAGTTTGGTCTTATATAGGTTCATTGGCGTTCACCAAACTTTGTATTTTCGAATGATTTTGTTTTTGTGTTTCTTATTATGTGACTGCATGTCATGATTAGAAAATCCTACAATTGTGACCCATGTGCATCTGTTCCTTATTAGTCAAAATCTTCTTTCACTCATTGGTTCTTTTATTTTTATTAGAAATTTACATGCTTATACATCTTCATCTATGATAAGTAAGAAACAAATATAAGTATGTCTTGGTTATATTTTAGATATCCGAATTCCCTACTTCGATCGGATGCATTGGAGACCCAAAATCTTCAATGAGATCAAAATGGCATTGTGATTTGTGAATAAGGTACTTGCAAGTCCAAGGAAAAATCAAACACTAAATTTTCATTATTGATGAGTTTGATTTTTAACTTTTGCATTTGATTCATTGTTTCTAGATTAATAGATGTTCATTTAGGTGATTTTTGTTTAGTTAGTTCAGTTTATAGTTATAGTAAATTTTGAAAATATTTCTCTCTTATGTTTGGTTAGAATGGTTTAGATAATCCCAACTAAAAAGTGAAGGGTTGAGATTTTTTTCACTCTCTCACTGTTCCCATTTCTTCTTTTTCATCATACCTCTTCTATCTTCTATCGACTCTCTCTCTTTTTTCCCCTTTTGGGACTCTCTTCTCCTGGATGATGAGTCCAGCAGGAAGTGGATTACGAGGGTGGGTTTTCAAGAACCTATGCTAATGGCGATGAATAGACAACACCGCTATTCACCCTAAGCCATCACCAACTTTGTCCACCTCACAAGTGCCTCCTCTGTATCCCAACTACCGCTGCAACCCCTTCCTTACCTGCTATTGCTGTTGCCACCAGTGGCAATGGATGCCTCCCAGACCTTTTTTTATCTTTATCTAAATAGTAGTATCCTTTTTCCCTAGATAGTCTAAATGAGATCACATAGTCTAAATTAGATTTTTCAGCACCAGACTTTCGTATGTTCGAATTTTCCCATTTGTTTGAATTTGAAACTCTGAATGAGACCATGCTTCTTCTTTTTTTCTTCCCCTTTTTGGGTGCTGCGGCATTTCTTCTTTTTTATGATATGATGTTCTCTTAGCAACCAATCATTTTTTTAATTATTTATTATGATGTTTATTAATTGATTAGATAATGGGGAAGACCAAAAAAAATGACGGCTTACTGTTTTTTGCTTGCATTGCTTCTAAATAGTTTGAATGTTCCCTACTCAAAAATAAATGATACACTATATATGGGTTAAATAAGGATCACATTGCTTCTAAACCCTTTTCGATACTTGCATTCTACAAGTTCATCTGCTAAACAAGACAAATACCCAACTTGCAAGAATGGTTTGATTTTCTTTTATATGCTTTATTTGCTTGATTTGGATCTTCTAACGTGTTTTGTAATTATGTGGTTCGGGGAAACTGAGTTGATGTCGAACCTTCACTCATTTGTCCCAATCCCTCAAACTTTTGATTAGAGTGGTTGCATATCCAAAGCATTTGCTCCTTGCCTTACTGTAATTCTTCCACTCTCCCATTCATTTGGTTTACTGGAGAGTTTGAGAAAATAAAACTACCCTTTCCTGCAATGCATAATCATGTATAAAATGTAAGGCAAATTTGAGGGAAAATCTTTCCTTCAAAATAGTACTTATGGCAGGACCCACTTTCTTTTGTCAACAACCACTTGTGCATTTTGTGAATGAATTTTTTTTTTTTCTTTGTCAATTAAACTCAGCTTAAGTGTACTTGTGTTTAGAATCCTTTTGTTTTACTTTGAATCTTTGATGAATCTGCTCCTCTACATTAGTTTGCTGCATTTTTTTTCTTGCAAACTGGCATTTTTGTTGTATGTCCATTTTTTTTCCTGTTTTGATTCTATCATATCCATTTTATGTGTTATCAAGTCTAACTAGTGTATCTGTAGGTTATATTGGTTCAGTCCCCTTTTTGAACGCTGTATTAGAAGTCATTAGCAAGCTTCGGTCTGTCAACCCCAAACCTTACTTACGGTGAGTTAGATATTGAACACTGAAAGTTCTTGCTATGAAGGTAACGTCTTCCCAACTAAACTATGTAATTATGTCCTTACATAAGAACTATTTTATAGCATATGTCGAAATTAATTTATTTCATTCCGTTTCATATATATGATTGCTTAACATCTTCTTTTCTTTATTTTCTTTATTAGTTTTTTTTAATATATTTTTTTTAGTTTGTAATGATTTTAATGATTCTTGATTCAATTCAATTCACAAAATTACAATCTGATTTATTTATTTATTTTTGAAATAAATATAAAATGTTTTATATTTTTTATAAGCTTGAAATTAATTGTATTGTAAATGAATTTTTTTTTTTTTTTTTTTTAGATGCAACCTTTTTGAGTACGTGATGATATTTTCACATATCGATATTGGAGCTTACTGTGACGACCCCGCCACGTATAATATTTTATATTTGGTTAATTAAGGAGATTTGGGATTTTAATTAGTCGTTATCCTAATTTAGTTTGGGATTTATGATAATTATGGAATCTGATTCGTATATGATTCTATTAAAGATTTATTTTGCAATTAGAAATTAAGGGTCCAAATGACTTAAGGACGTGAAATTAAGAAGTTGAATCAATTTAATTTTTAATTACGAACCCATTTGAGAGTTTAATTAAATATTCGATTCAATTTAGTAAAATTGAGATTTGATTAATTAGGTCTGAATTGGAGTTAATTAAGTTAATTAAATTATGAGGATTGAGAATTGTGATTATTATGAATTAAATTTATTTATGGGGTGTCTAATTTGAATATGTAATTTATTGACAGAAATTTGAGTTTGATTAGAACTTGAAGACCTAAATGGTTTGAGAAATCAAAATTGATGATGACAATAAGTTTAATTTAATATTTGGAGCCTTTTGGGAGTTTGATTAAAATAAAAAAAAAATCTGATTCAGATTAATAAATTTAAATATTATTAATTGGGCTCTAAAGGAAGTCAGATTAGACTAATTAAATTAAGTGGGATTTGTGATTAGTCATGATTGATTTAATTATGTGTTAATCAAGATTTATTAAGACTTGCTTAGTTAAATTAATTTTGATCATACAGTAAATTGTAGAATAATCTAGAATTGGGTGTGTATGTGGGTGTGTGTGTGTTGAGAAAATCTGGGTGTGAAAAGAAGGCTGTGTGCGTGTTTATTCATTGTTTATACGTTGTATTAGATAGAGCCCATTGAATTTATTCTTTGACATTCAGGAAGAGGGCTTGAGCCGTAAAGAGAGAGAGAGAGAGAGAGAGAGAAAGAAGGAAGGAAATCAAGGCTTGAGAATTGAAGGAAGAACAAAGGAGAAGAGGGTTTTGTGCGATATCAAAATTCAAGAAAAAAATTGTGGAAAAATCATCCTAAGGTAAGAAATTTCATCCTTTTTTTTAGTATAGTTAAAATAATCTAGACATAAATTGATTCAAGATGGATTTTGAGAGGATTAAAAATGAAGATTTGAAGATTAATTATATAAATTGGGTTTTACTTTGAGTTAAAGATGATGAAAATTTTCTATTTTAGATCTATTATGATTTGGGTTTGATTGTTGAGTTTTATACTCTCAATTAGTTTCTATGAGTGTTTTACATGTAGAAAAATGATCAATTTGATGGTTGTTTGGAGATTAAGATTTGGGTTAATCTAGGGTTTGAATGTGATGTAAAAATTGGGGATTTTGGTGTTAGGAAATTTATATGTTGAAATTGACTTGATAAATGGTAGATTGGGTATCTCTATGTTCTATGGAGGAATTTTATAAATGATTGAAGTGGTTTTACTTAAGTTGTTGAGTTTATGAAAATGTTGATTTTTGACTTTTGTAGTTAATTGATGGTGGTATTGTGCATATAAATTGATTGGATATTTAAAAAGTTTATTAACTCAAAAAAAAAAAAAAAATGTACAAATGATGGGTATTGTGGAGATTGGATAAGAAGTTTGTTTGGGTGACTTGAAGTTGGAGGAGTTCTTTAGCTTGTCATTCCATAGCATGTCTTATTTAGGATAAATTTTGTAGATGTTGTAATTTTCAATTGAAAGTTTTTCCTTAATTTTAGATCCTATTTACTAATTGTTAGGATTGGAGGGAGGCGTCTCTACACCTCTTGGGAGTTAATTCGTAGAGTTTCAATCTATGCTTTTGCTAATTTGGAGGTGAGTATACTTACCATGGAAAATTTACCTTATCTCTATCTTTAATACAAAGTTTGAAAATATTTTTGAATAAAAGGAAGTAACACATTTCATCATGATATATGTATAAGAAGAAAATCTATAAATTTATTGAGGTCAAATGTTGAGTTTAAATAAATATATGATTTCATTTGTATAATGAAGCACTAATTTTTTTATGAGAATTTATTCAAGTTGAGTCCTTCAAAGTTTATGATGATGATGATTAAATAACAATGAAACGTCATGCGAGAGTATTTACTTTTATTGGTCATATAACCGAATATAGCCTTTGGGGCCACAAGGGCCGAAATGCGTAAGGGGTCCTGGGGACCGAAATATTTTAAGGACCATAAGGGTCGTTGTACATGAGGGGTCCTGGGGACCGAAACATTGAAATGAGAATTGAAGTGCTACGATGGCATGAGTTATGTTCCTATGGTTATGTTTTGGGTAATGGTACTGTCACCACCTAAGTCGCGAGGTAATGCAACCCTAAGGCTATGTAGTGGTTCGTATGATGGACATGAAATCTTAATGTATTAAAAAGCTGTATTTTTGTTTACTCTCCTTATTCAAATGTATTTTTCCTGCATTATGAGATTCTTTGAAAAAAAAATCTTGATAATGGTTTATGCAAAAAATTTCTCATTTTTATAAATTTCAGTCCAATTAAACTCTTGTGTTTATTATCTTATTTTGAACCCAATTGGAAGGAGCAAGCTTTATAACTCCATGGAATTGGTATACTCATCGGGCTCTAGCTCATTCTTTTTTTAATTATTTTTTTTTTCAGATTCCTAGACTTTTGTGTGGCTCGCCTCAACTTGGAAGATTAGAGTTTCTGGAGGATCAAATGTGAACGTCTGGTAGTTGAGGTTTTGCTTAGGGTCACTCTTGGTTGTAGTTTTATCCTTTGTTTTATGTAGGTTGATTGTAAATATTTGCTTGTGAAGTTGGACGTGTTGATGGATTCACGAATAGTATGTTTTATTTTGGGGGTAGTGGTGCATGGGAACTATCTTAGTAGCATGAGGATATTTTTTTATCTTTGAATGGATCATCTCATATATGTTGGCCAATCGAAGGGTCTTATGCACTATTGGTGATGTGATATAAGAATTTATACAGGTGATTATTGTGTACAGGTGTTATAGCGTTGAAGTACACCCTCTTGGCAGGGGTTGCCTTGCCGAGATTGGGTCGTGACACTTACTGTTGATATTAAAACATGCCATAATATATATGTTTTTTTATTTGTATTGTCGATATTTTTGTTTTGTTTTAGATACAAAAATTTGAGTTCTTGAATTATTAAAAATTAGTAGTATTGATATTTTGTAAAGAATATTTGTTTGACAATTGTTACAAGGTACATATATATTATTAT